TATTTAACAATGACTTGTGTTTTTTTATTTTTATTTTTTTTGTGTCAGTGTACATGATAAGTTGTTGAAATAATGCTTTGATTTTAAACTTTAGTAGCTTTTCTGGTGTGAAAGAAAATCTAGTAAGTACTAGTTTGAAGAGGGCAAATTTCCTAATTTTCAAAAGCATCGGAAAAACGACCAAATATTAATGTAAAACGAGAATTTTTACGCAAAATAAGTTTTAACAAAATCGATTTTTGATATTGGTATAACTCTAAAACAAATTACCATAAATAGGTACATGAAATTTTCACTGAATGTTTATATTGGCATTTTGTATACTTGGTAACATTTTCAAAATATTTCAAATCCTTGTAATAAAATGTTATTCATTGGGTCAAAAAATTTGAAAAAATATATAAGGTTCCCCATATTTTAATATAATAGAAGTTGGAAAATATTAAAAATTACATAGGCACGTTTTTATTTTTTATATAACCGTTTAAAGTTAACATTTTGACAACATTTACAAATTATTTAATTATTCAAAATTTATAAGACATTCAAATTTTATAACTAAGGCTTGAAATTTCAAGAGTATACTTAAACAGTGAAACCCGTCTATAACGGACTCCTTCTATAGTTCTATTACGGACACGGACACTAATATTTTACTCGACAATTTCATAACGGACAAAAATACATACATACTATGTGATAAGAAACGCAATTAGGACATTAAGTTAAAACACGGATTACGACCAATTACATTATCCATATATACATAATCCTTAATTATCCATCACGAGTTGGAAATTACCAAATTATCGAAGCACAAAAAACAAACATCAATAGAATCATTTTTTAAGAAATAATTAATAAATTTATATGTAATGTGTATAATATATAAAACATATTAATACAGATTATACCTAATACATATATTATAATATAAAAAACAATACAAATGTACGTACAAATTGTCATTTTTAAAACATTGAAACCTGTCTACAACGGACACCTGTCAATAACGGACAATTATTTTGGTCCCGCGACTGTCCGTTATATACTGGTTTCACTGTATTATAGTTTATATTCTAATTGTAAAAGTTAATGTAGTTAATGAMTTATACTAATATAACTTTATATTTTTTTATGGTATATTGTATGTATATACTATGAATGTCTAAGTGAGTCAGGTACATAATGAATATGATTTGATTAATTTGGAATTTATATAATTTTTTTGGAAATAATGACAATATAATTGATTTAGTATAAAATATCMTAGACTGACAAACCGTCTCCGCTCAGAATCATTTTTCCTATACAATGATATAATATAATTTAATTTTAATTTAATACCATCCATTATAGTAAACCACTTGTAACCTTCTGTACAGTAGATGAGTGATACCCTCTTACCCGTTTTTTAAATTTATATTTGTTTTCTTATTAATGTCGAAATAGATAACTACTATAGTGTTTAAAAACTAAATAAAGCTCTCCACATGCAACATTTAAATTTACGATTACACAATTCCTTAGAAAAAATTTTRACTTCAAACYAGATAAAATTATATGACATATAACTATGATGTTAAATAATTAATAATAGAGTAAAAAAAAAAAAATTCTCATAATTATTTCTGCCAATTTACCTTGCATTTGGTTCATCTTYAWWGCCAAAAACTATTGTAGTAACTTGATCTTTTTGACAAATACGATATAGAGGAGGACACGGTTCGCCACAATAACCTATACAATCATGACCACAATTCAATTTTAACTTGCAAGGCTCATAACAAGGTCTTCGATTGCATAATTCAAAGCATTTTCTGGTAGATTTTAAATGTTGGCACTTCCATTCACAGTTTTCCTGTTTATAAAACCAATAAAATATAAATTATGATTATAAGGTTTAAATATTTTCAATGGGATGCATTTTAATTCATCCACCCACATCCATAATATTACCAACATAMAATTTATCACAGATCGTAGAAATTAAAATTAAAAAAAGGAGAATCTCATTTATTTTRATTTTATTAGGATATTAGTTACTACCTTGCATTGTACACATTGATTACCACATAGTTGAGTACATCGAGAATGCACACAAGAATAGATGCATTTTTGATTACAAGGTGGACATCGTTCTTTACAGGGGAATTTGCATCTGTTAAAATAAAATATCATATTKAGTTATGATTACAAATAAATTCATAGGTTTAAAATAAAATGGTTTACACATACGTATGATTACATGGATTTATCTTATTGCAAATTTCACTGCAAGGTATATGTATACGTCCTTGCTTACATTCTCCRCATGTGCCCAAACAAGTGTCATTGCAATTTAATTTTTGTAAACAWKGTTCACGGCATTTATCAAGAAGATATTGGCTGTCCATTCTGAACTCTATAATACATATTGTTTTTACTTTTAACTAAAATAACTAATTTACAGAATACTACTATTAAAGACCAAAAATACGATGGTTTGTTATGATTAAACATTATTGCTGAACCAAGGTTGCTTTAAAAATATTCTTATAAACAGTACTGAAATAAATTCATTGTGATATACTTATATAAAAATATAAAATTAAAACAGTAATGATAACAATAAAAACTATTTAAAAAAAAAATCATGAAATGTGTTCCATTCACCAATTAAAAAAAAAATACCATTAAAATAGTATGAAGATGATGGAATATATTACCTTTATCTTTATCACAACATAAAACCCAAACACTGTTATGCCCGCAAGCGAGTTTACTATTTTTTTGCAATACTATTTCCTCATAATCTTTAGTGCTACTGCAATACTATTTCCTCACAATCTTTAGTGCTACATAAATTCTTACACATGTGCCCACAATCTAAAATTCTGTTACATATTTCAGTGCAAAGCTTACGTTCAGGCAAAGTTTTACACTTCAATGTGGTTGAATGTCTGCATTCCAGTATAACTTTTTTTACCTGAAAAATATAAATATAAATAAAAAAAAGGACACAATAAAATATTTAACTTACTTGATTTTCACAAGGTCTACATTTTTCAAAGCATTTAGATTGACACTTATGGAGGCATGTTAATTGACGGTCACATGGAAGAATACATTTAATCTCATCAATATTTAATCCACAAGGCACATTATTCTTTGAATGCCCACAGGGCAGAACTTTCCTAACTTTAACAGTACACAATGAGCAGTCTTCATAACACATTTTTTGACATTTGTGACTTAGAGAGCACATTTTGTTTATATTTTCACAAGGTTTTATGCATTTATACTATGGATATGTTTTTAAAAGTACAATATTAAAATATAAAACAATTTTTTTTTTAAAACTAAAATTACGTTCTCATGTTCTGGATCATCATTCTCATGACAATTTCTATCGCAAGCATGTCCACAATCTAAACGATCTATGGATTTATATGAACAGATGGGATTTTTGTCATGACATTTTTTTAAAACTGTATGATCACATATATCTAGGACAGCTTCTACCTAAATTAGAATTTTTATAAGAACAATTATGTAATTAAAATAATACACTATGAGTCTATGAAAAAATTTTAAATAACCCAACCATTTCTTCACACAGATAAGTAATAATATCAACAAAACATTGTAACGTCAATTCGTGGCCACAAGGTAACTCTCTGTTCATTAGCACAAGACAATCTCCACAATCCATATAACATGTTTTCTTACAAGGATGATTATAATCACAGAACCTATTACACATATTAATACCTTAATAAAATGATCTTAAAGAAAATAATAAATAAAAATATTATACTTGTCACATGGCTCCATGCATTTCAATTCTAAATGCTCACGGTCATAAGAATGACATAAACTTGAACAATAATGATCACATAATAGTAATGATTTACATAACATTGAACAACCACGTCCCATAATAATATTGAAATCTTCACTTTTTGCAACCTTTGTTGTAATTCCAGAATGAATGGCACATTCCAAAGTCAATTCATCTCCTTAACATGTAGATACATTTTTATTTAATCCATAAAAATAAAAATAATTACAACATTTTATAATTACCATATGAACCCTGATTTATTAATGTTTCTTATATTTGTTTCCACAAATTACCAGAATTGTACAAATTGTCCATATTACCCATTATGTAAAGTCCATATTTAGCTCTTGACAATGCAACACATATTCTGTTCTCAGTTTTCAAAAATCCTACATTCCCCTTTTCATTACTTCTAACAGTTCTAACTAGTGATAGTAATATTATATCACTTTCTTCTCCTTGATAATTATCTACCACTGTGATCTTCATCCCTTCTAATATTGAATGTTTTTTTCTTAACTTAAAATATATTATACAATAAATAAGTCATACTTTAATTTAAACAGCGATAAAATTATAATTTAATCAAATTATTAACTGTTTATATTGTTTTTTTATGTT